TGGATCATCGAGTCAAACGACAAGTCTATCTTCAAATTGAACTCGTGATACAAATGATTCAGGAAGTAGCAAACGGTTGAATATTTTTGCCTGTACTTCTCATGTCTTTGGATAATTGCTATATCTCGCTCGTCACAACGAGTGTCACCAATGAAGTGAGTTGTTTGACCACTCATCCCTCTTTTGGAGAAATATGTAGCGTAGGGAAGTATAAACAAAAATAATCATTAGATATATTTTCGAAAGTAAGAACTAGATAGAAGTGTTGACGAATCATCTATGCGCCTTGGCGCTGCAGGATGAGCGGCGTGACTAAATCGAACTAGTGAACCATAGACTGTCACCTGGCGGAGGCATGTCTCATTCTGGCACTGACGACTTGTGGCATTTCAAGACAACCCACCTGGACTGGTTCCGACTCCTTGCTGGTAAAGGACATCCATTTAAGAATCTCTTTTCTTACCTTTCATGTATTTCCGCCCACTTTGATCTATCCAAGCTCGAGTCTTAAGCATTGTGGCGGGTCCAGCAATACACTCTATTTCGGTCATCATCACTGATGCCTGCTATACGAGCCGCCCTCGTTCTGTAGGGAGCTCTTGAAAGAGCCCCAGTTTCATTGCCTCGACGTGCCTTATTTTCTTTTTTGAAGATTGTGGACGTCGAAGGCGGGGACAGCAGCGATGTCTCTCCCGTCTATGACTTCACTGGCCGCGGCGGCTACAGCCATCGCCGTAATGAGCAGTGGCGCCCCAACATCATCACCCACACCTTCAATACCTGTACCCTCTTCCATGGCTGGTCCGCATCATGATCATGATGGAGAAGACAATGGAGAATGCAGACTGCTGGGTCCCTTTTCGATTCTGGTCCAAGCGGCACTCGGATCACTGGCGCTGTTGTCCTTGGTGTACAAGCGCTGGAGGGAGAGACCTCAGCGGCCTGTGAAGGTGTGGGCATTTGACGTATCGAAACAAGTCTTTGGGTCGGCGATGCTACATCTTGCGAATCTACTCATGTCCATGTTCTCTGCCGGCCAATTCGAAATCACGAGCAAATACAGACCGAATCCGTGCTCGTTCTATCTATTGAATTTGGGGATTGACGTGAGTCATTTCCGGACATTTTGGAATTTGCTGTGATGTAGGAGCTGACAATTGACCTGCGGATCAGACTACGCTCGGAATCCCCATTCTCATCTTCATTCTCCACATTCTAAACCGCCTAGCGGCATATACTCCCCTTGCGAACCCCCCGGAATCGATCGAGTCTGGAAACTATGGCGCTCCGCCACGGGCCGCCTGGTGGTTCAAGCAGGCTATGATATACTTCTTTGGGCTATTGGGAATGAAAATTTGCGTCTTTTTTCTCATTCAACTACTGCCCTTCATTGTCAAGATAGGTGACTGGGCACTGCGCTGGACGGAAGGGAACACAGCTCTGCAGATCATCTTCGTCATGCTGCTTTTCCCAGTGATCATGAACGCCATCCAGTACTACATCATTGATACTTTCATCAAGAAACCGCTATCTCGAACTCACGAGCTGCTCCAGGAAGAAGATGAGGTGGAAGATGCTTTGCTGGATGACAGTCGAACACCGCGCAATGCACTGCTGTCTAACGTTGACGATGCTGATACATTTGGGCCGGATGAAGGTATCATAGGAAAGGATCTGGGCAAAAATCTGGAACCGCCCGCAAGACCGAACGGATTTGGTCATGCCGAGTACGACCCGGCAGTTGATGGGGAGTATTTATCCCCGGCGTCATCGGCGTCTGCCAGCTCCAGCAGCAGTCATGGAGAATACGATGCAATGTCATCTTCGACAAAGCTTACACTTCAGAACAAGAGATCATGACGACCTTGTTTATGCTTATGCGTCGGCGTTGGGTGCTTGATATGGATACTTTTTGTGCCACGTCGCGGCCGGTTTTGCTCCTTTTTTGTTCGCGGCCTCATACACTCCCAGAAATTTGTTTATAGCGATCCAAATGACATGTATATGCTTTAGTCACACTCCAATAAGATATCACGACTCACCGTGCAATCGAGTCCATGGGTAATATGTTAGGCATAGGGTAGAGCATGCAGAATTGGCGTATCTTTCTCTTTCCACGACAAAGGCTATTATTGAATAATTATCCCACGACGTATTGGAATAAATTAGTCATTTTCAATGTTTCAACTCTGTTGACCGTCAGCTATATACCTGTGTTGAGCTGCTTGAACCGGAAGATGCCATAGGATCAACACCCACCGCCACCGTCACCGCCTTATTCTGCCGTTGAAGCGAAAAGAAAATTATTGTCAGGTCTTTTGACGGCCCGCAGACGATATTTCATTCGATCTGAACAATAGTCTCACATTGTGATATCTATATATGGTACATTTATAATTATATTGAATTAACGGGTTTTCCACTATCGTCTGAGATTTCTCTTATCCCCACGACGGCAAGATGCCCAAAACCACCGTCACGGTCAAGGAAAAGACCCGCCAAAAGACAACGGCAAAATCGCGCTCTCCATTTGAGAATGGAGCTTCTTCCAAGCCTGTTGACGAGAGCGACGCTTCCGACGTGGAAATGGAGATCGACGGCGTTGAGACCGAGAAAGTGCGCGAGAAGGATGAGGCGGAGAAGAAGCTGGAGAGAATGCTCTTCGGTGATGACGAGGGTTTCATCGGCGCATTGAAAAGCCAGGATCGCGATCTTATGGCGTTGATGGCGAAAAGCGATGAGGAGAGTGGCAGTGAAGAGGACGAGGGTGATGATTTTGACGATCGGGATTTGTCAGATGTTGCCGATGCAGATGTTTGTTCATCCTCACCCCCCGTGGGTATGTGCGTGCGCTAATGGAATTTCCTACAGCTCTTTTTCCTTGATTCTGGCACTGCACCAGTTGGTACTGAGCTTGCAGAGTCTTCGGCGGCGGGGTCCGAGTCCGAGGAAGACACAGAAGCGGAGGAGACGCATCGCGCGGTGTGGCACGACAGCGACGATGAGCGCCTCACGATTTCGCTGGCTAGTCACCAGAGGTTGAGGAAGTTGCGTGTCACCGAGGCGGAGGATGTCATCAGCGGCAAGGAGTATATCAAGCGACTTCGCAGACAGTTCGAGCAGCTGCACCCCGTACCAGACTGGGCCAACCCGGCATTGAACAAGAAACAGACCGATTCAGACTCTGATCGTGACAGCGATATGGATACGGACGATGAGAATGACCGGCTATCCACGCAACCGTTGGCCAAGCTGCTGCAAGGTGCTACTGATCTGACCACGCTTGGTGAAAGCACAGGCGCGGGAGGCAAGAGAAAATTGCGACAGGAGGTGATAGATATTCACAGACTCAAGGATGTCGGCAAGGATCAGCCAGTAAGTTTTCTATGTGAGGCGCAACGTTCAATGATTCTAGTATTAATGCTTCTGCTTGCAGTCTTCCATCGACTCGCTCATGTTCCACCCTCACTATCCATTGCTTCTGTCGTCCGGACCTGCAGCAACACTTTTCATCCATCACATCTCACCCTCTGCAGAGGCTCCCAATCCCCTTCTCACGTCACTTCATATCCGCCGTACACCTATCCACACCTCCGCCTTTGCTCCTCCTACCGGTAACAAGATCTTTGCCTCCGGTCGTCGACGATACTTCCATATTTGGGATCTCGATACTGGCAAGGTCGAGAAGGTCAATGGCACTGCAGATCGTAAAGAGGAACAGAAATCCATGGAGCGGTTCAAGCTTTCGCCCTGTGGGCGGTATGTCGGACTGGTCGGCTCCTCTCGCAAAGGAGGCGGTATCGTCAACATTCTGCACTCGGAGACAGCGCAGTGGATTGCCCAGGTTCGCGTGGACGGCCGTGGGGGTGTCGCCGATTTCGCCTGGTGGAGTGACGGAGAAGGTATGACTGTCGCGAGCAAGAACGGTGAGGTGTCTGAATGGGACGGCCGCTTGAACCGGGTTGTGGCTCGCTGGATGGACGCCGGTGCCGTGGGCACAACGACACTCAGCCTTGGTGGACGCTCTGGACGGACACAGTTGGGCGGAGACCGCTGGGTTGCCATTGGAAGTTCTAGCGGTGTAGTCAACGTCTACGACCGTCGCGAATGGGCGGCCGCGTATGCTGCACAGCCTGCCTCTTCGGAAACGTCGCCGATCCCCCGTAACCCAGAGCCTGTACGTGCCCTGGATCAACTCACTACGCCCATCAGCCATCTGGTCTTTGCGCCAGACGGGCAGTTCCTTGTCATGGCTAGTCGGTGGAAGCGGGACGCATTGAGATTGGGTAAGCCTCTACCTCTGTCACTGCTCATGATGAGTTTAACTGACTGATACCCTACAGTTCACCTTCCCTCTTGTACAGTGTACCGCAACTGGCCCACATCCAACACGCCTCTTGGCCGTATCTCGTCAGTAGCTGTCTCCCCTGCCTCGGATCAGCTGGCAGTCGCCAACGAACAGGGACGTATCCGACTTTGGGAGATTCGCGGGTAGTTGGTAGATTGCAGACATGAGCTGTTTGAAGATAGAGGAAAAGTTGTTCTTGTACAATTAGGCATTGCGCATCGTATAGATCTAGCATACATTCAAACGATAAAGATCATTGCACATATCACACGGCCATCGGCCAACAGTAGATTTCCGGCTCATAAAATTTAAGCCAAACGTTTAGACCGTGTACTCCATTCCCGCCTTAAAATCACTGCAAAAACAAAACGTAAAGACCCGAAATCTCATCATTGTGCAGACATTAATGAACTCAACGATTTCATTACCCCCTGCGAATAGTCAGCACCCCATCCCACCGTAAGAAACCACCCCTCGACGAACGAATAACTTACATCAAGGCCGAGCTTTACAGCGAAACAAATCATCAGCATCTGCTCACACCAAGCTGAAATATCCAGGATAGAATAAACTCACCGAGTTCAAGAGCTACCCGTGAATCACAATCGTCAGCGAACATGGACGCCAGCAGAGAGGAACCAGAACCCAGTCCTCAAATATAAGTTTCACTTACCGAGCCAACGATATGAACCTTTTGCACGCATCAGTTTAGCACACTTCGGACCAAACAGAACAAGGAAAGCTGAACCTACCTTCTTCCCATCTTTATTCTCCGGGTCACTCTTGCTCGCGGCAGTCTGGTTCGGGCTCGAGTTCGAGTTTGGCTCCGAGCTCGCGCTCGCGCTCGCGCTCGGGGCCTGCGTGAGCGTGACGAGGATCTTGTTCGTGGAATCGATCTGGGCCGTCGCGGCGGACACAGATGGTAGAAAGAGTTTAGTGCTGAGAGTCGGGACGAGGGTTGTGTCTGGTGGGAGGAGTTTGGTGGTGGTTGTTGGCACGAGGATAGGAGCTGGCATGCGGATGGTGTCTGTGTTAGTGCTGTTGTTGTCTCTTACCCATCGATGAGGAAAGGCCAGGGCTGTCGTGGCGATGGCCGTGGTGAGGATGGTAATGACGCCCTTCATTTCTGCTGGTTATTTGTGAGAGTAATTGCTTGCGTGGTTAGCTATGATAGGGGAGTTGAGGGAAAAGAGAGCAGGGCCACCTTGGTAGTTCGACAGGAGTCAAACGGCTAAGTTAAACGATGGTAACAACTGTCTTCCAAAGCTTAATGTCAGTTGGAAATAATAAAGAGTTCAGTTCCACTTGTTGTGTGTATATATGGGCCTGTTGTTGGGTACATGTGATAACCCCAGCTTCGAGGCAGCACAACAATGCGGTTCTGTGGATCAACCGATAAGACCCAGACCATCTGCCGGGGCAACGTGCCTGCCTTAATGCCATGAGACCCTGGCATTCTATAACGGGTCATTATTCCGAACACCGTGCTCCTTGCGGAGGCGCATTCGTCAGGTCAACCGGGTATCGGGTTGGGCTTTGAATATGCTATAGAAACGGCAAGACTGCGATTTCATATGAGCTCCGGTCAATCAAATATCGTAGATGCTGACGAAGAATTTGTCGCAGTGTCGTCCAATTCGTCGGTTATTGAGGCCAGTCTGTTTTGGGGTATTCGAACATTCCTGCCGTGCCTTTGGAATGCTGGGTTCCTTGGGCGAATCTGAACATGTCTGCACCCAAAACTAGCAAAGAATCCAACTTGTCTTTGATTGAGCATCTAGATCCCTTGCCGAGGGCTCAGAACTTTCATGTCACTTGTCCGCTGAGGCGGATATTCTAGAATGATTGATGTGCAGATGATGTTGGTAACTCAGAAGAGCCAAAACAGCCAGCGCTGCGCCGTTCCCTGGCAGTTCAACCCCGTCAGTTGGCTGTCAATGTAAGTAAATATGTTAGTCTTCCAGCGCATTTGAATGGATCTTGTTGGTAGCGTAATATCATTCATTGAGCCTGTATGTTGTTTGTATGTACAGACACTCGCATTCCAGTCGGGTCGTTCTATGGGGTCTGTAGTCAAGAAAGACGATGTGCATCCTCCAGGACACCGACAGATTCGTACACTTGGATAGCGTTCATGGATATTTTTCAAACCCAGGGCCGCTTACACTTGCCATACCAAAACACCGTATCCAAAAGAAAACTCGTCAACAGCCAAAAAAGTCCCTTCCAAATATCAGATATTGACATTTAAAGCAGTTTCTGCATTTCGTCTGCGTTCCGGATACCAGCCAGGTTGCCGGCCTTGACACGCTTGAGGGTCAAGGCGGCGATCAGCGCGGCACCGACACCGGAACCATCCTCGGCCGCCATAATGGTGACCTTGTCCTTCTCGTTCGGGGCCCAGTCCAGGATCTCGCGCAGAGCCTGGGCACCACGAGCCTTGAAGTGAGGGTACTTGGTGAAGACGGAGCCGTCCGCACCAACGTGGCAGCTCTCGATGTTCTTCTTTTTGCAGATAGCGGCCACACCGCAAGCCGACAGACGAGCTGCACGCGTACCGATCAACTCGGCCAGACGACGAATCATCTCGAGCTCGGCCAGAGTGGGCTTGATGTTCAACTCGCGCTCGAACAGCTCCTGTGTTTCCTGCAAGTTCTCGTAGGGATCCTCCTCGATGGCAGCCAGGAAGGAAGCGTCCAGCAAGTACGGCTTCCGCAGCTTGCTGGTGTCCTGATTCTGGAAAATTAGTCCTGGTCTGCTGTCCAGGAGGTCAATCAAGGCCAGACGGAATATCTCTCCCAGGTAGAGACCGGCTGTCATCTTCTCGAAGGCCTGCTGACCGGGGCGGGGAGAGTCGCGGTCAATGATGTGATCGTACTTTGTGAGGGGTAGAACAACGTGCTCGTTGTCGAAAGCACCGTACTCGCAATTGATGGCCACTGGCATGTCTGGGGGCAGGTTCATGTGGGCCAGCTTAGGGATGGAGCCAACATCCTCCATGTAGGCCGCATTGACACCTGTACCAAAAATACATCCAATCTTCATCTCGGGATCAGTGTAGGCGGAGGCGATGAGCGTTCCAGTGGTATCGTTGATCAAGGCAGCGACCTTGATAGGAAGTCCCTGAAAAGCACATTGTTAGATGCCCGTAGATTCGCGACAACAAGTAAGAGAGGGCATACCTTTCTCTTCAGTGTTTCCTCCAGGGGAGGGACGACATCCTGTCCCTCGACACCATCAATGTCGAAGCCCTTAGTCCAGCGCTGAAGAACTCCATGATCAATGTACTCTTGTGTCGCCGGGTAGGAGAAGGTGAAACCCAGGGGCAACGATGTCAATCCCTCCTCTCCGTGGTGGAACTCAATGAATTGCTGTATGCAGTCGGCGATGTATTCCCACAGCTCCTCCGCGGTTCCGGTCTTCAGTTCTTCCGGCATGCGGTACTTGGACTGGCAGATATCGAAGCCTCCTTTCTCTTCCGTCAAGGTAATCTCACAGACGCGGAGGTTGGTACCACCCATATCCAAGGCAAGGAAGGTTCCCTGCTCGTCTCCATCGGGGAAGTCCATAACCCAGGTAACGTTCATCGGCTGTTGCGTAGTCCTAGTGGTCAGCGTACAAGCTTCTCCCGATGGATGCGGTCAAGCTCACGATGTTACCCCCCTCCACGCTGAGACCTAATCAGAAACCGCAGGTTAGCTTCATTACATCTCCCTGATAGCTACCGAAGCTATCAATAAATAGATTAAAGATAAGGGCTTACCCTTCTCGAGCTCCTTGACGAAGTGGTCAACCACCTGCTTGAGCTTGGCTCTGTCCACGGTAAACATCTCCTCGAAATCCTTAATCTGCTGTAGAAGATTCTGAGGCACATCGGCCATCGATCCTGTTCCAATTGCACTTCGAATGAGCCATTCTGCCAAATGTTTTGTAGCTTCGACCAGTTTGACCTACCCTTCCGGGATGGGGGGCGCTTGGGACCAATTCCGACCATTGTGTTATAAGAGTGTGTATTAGAAAGGAACGATAGATATGAGCAATGAGGGAGATATATGAAACGAAGTAAGTAGAGAGAAAAGAGCTAGAAAGACAGATGAATTGGGAGGGAGGGGAGGGGGGAAGGATATTGATAAGAAGAGCTACGGACTATGAGGTATCTAGAGACACCGTGGGGCAGCGACCGGAGAAGGTCCAAGAGAATCAGACACTGCCAGAGCCACCGAAGAAGGCCCCGCACAGAACGATGAAATCGCAGTGGCCGTTGATCATCCGATTGCCTCACCGGTTGGTCTCTTTCAGCTGGGGTCGAATTCTAGTGAGAATCGATTTTTTTTGGCATTACTCTATTGATACTCCATCCATGTCTATCCAGATACCGAGTTTCTGCTCTAGGGGTTGGGGTTCATACCGAGTCCCTCCCCACCTTTCGCAGGATCCGATGACAACCTTAATGCTTCCCAAAGGATTATCTAAATAGTAGCAAATGATTGAGAATCGAATCCTCAAAAGCCGGTGAGATTCGGAGATCCTTTTGTGATGCGTCAATTCCGCTGTTGGCGCCTCGATAATAAGTCAATAATTCATCCAGCAAGCAGAGCTGATCGCTTCTAGAACATTGCTTTTTATGGTTGCTATAGTTAACTTAACTAGTTGTCTTTTCATGACTAAGGCCATCTTCATTAATTCATTATTTTGCATACCATGATTCATCTATGTCTCACCTATAGATCGATTTCGTTCAGATTCTCATTATTCACATTCATGTGAGAAAGGTTGGGATGCAAGAGAATCAACCATCCGTGATCCGCCAGAAGGAAGCCACATCAGCGCCATCGTTAAATAGTGGTCACACTAACGGACTCACATGGCTCACATGGCATTTGACTTCTTCCTTTGACTGGCCAAATGAGGGAATACATGTCCCAATCCCCCCTCGCTGTCATGCACAGCTGTTGGTTGTAGCTCCCTTGCTTTCGCATCTCCTGTGACATGCGTATCCTGGGCAAGTCCTCCGTCCATCTCCTCATCGCGGGGGATTCCGGACGACTGGCCCAGGGGCTGTTTATTCGACAAGGCCTGGGCACGGTGGGCTGCTGCCGTCCCTTGTCTGATGCCTGCTTCCTTTTGAGAATGACGATCCAATTGCCGTCGCACTCTTTCTTGATACGCCCCGGAAAAACCCAGCGCTCGATCAACTTCTTCTGTCAGACGCTCCACCTCATCGTGTAGCCGCTCGTCTCTCGTCCATAAAGGTGCGTTCTCGGCATCTCGTGCCTCTTTATCAGGATTCGTCCTCTCCCACAGTTCCTCAAGTTCCTGTTCCCAACCGAGCGCTCGTGCGAACTTTCGCACACCAGCATCACAATCGCCCAAAAGAAGGACATCGTCGGGACGAGACCCCATACCTCCCACACGTTCCATGTTAATCAGCACTCGCGGAACCCCCTCACGACAGAATGACGGTAAACTAGCAAATGGGTGTACAGTGAGACTCGTCCCCATAACAATACATAAATCTGCTTGTTCTGGGAGACTTCGGTTTGCGTGGAATTCCTCGGGCAGGGCTTCTCCGAAGAAGACAATGTCCGGCTTGACAAAGCCGTTGCAACGAGGACAATGGGGCACCTCCCCTTTGGCAATAGCCTCCTTCATTTGAGGTTCCGGGTACGCCGCCTTGCAGTCAATACAGTGTTGCGACGCGAAGCTACCATGGGCCTCAACAATTTTCTCGCCTGGGACTCCTGCCAGGCGCTCCAAGCAATCAATGTTCTGAGTAAAGTGTTTCAACAGCAGTCCCTTTTCGTGCAATAACTTGACAAATGAATGCACAATAGTTGGTCGATACCGGCCAGGCGCCAACTCACGCGCCAAGGCGTAGAACGGTCGAGGGTTCTCTCGAAAGTAATTGATATCGAACACATCCTCCGGCTCTGGCAGATCTAGAAAGGCTAGATTGGAGTAAAGGCCTGTGTCTGGGGAGCGAAAATCGGGAATGCCCGCCGAGGTACTGATTCCAGCCCCTACCTGCCATCACCACCGTTAGCTGCTACATGCGGGGCAAGGAGGGGCGATCTCGGAATATGGCATACCATGACCACAATGCGTCGCACATCTTTCTCTTTTATATATTTGGCTACTGCTTCAATATTCCGCGCCTCCAGTACCGATGGGGAAGTTCCCTCGTCGACCACAGTGGACGTTTCACTGCCCATGTTGCGTCGGGATTATCCAACACTGGGCCGCTATGCTGGTCTCTGGAACTTCGTCGGCGGTCAATGCAGCTGGTAAAGGAGCTCAACTTCTTAATAATTACTGTTTGAGAATATAAATGATGAACAGATAATAGAGGCACAAAGACGTAGCAAAAAAATTCACCGTTGATAGCGACGCAGTAGCAAATGACGTCGAGTTGATATCTCAGAGGGAGAAAATCCCCCGATTGGGTAGTCGGTGGGCCTGGCTGCCTGAGGCTTGCAATTGTACAGCAATCTGTCTCCAAGAAGGAGGTTTGATATCATATTTTCATGCGTCCTGGATCAAATTGTTGTTATTACAAGATACAGCTCTTCAAGATAAAGTCCATTACACTTCTTTCAAAGGAGCGAATGTCCTAAAGCGATAACAGGAGCTGCCTAAACTATAAGCTTCTCACCGCCCACTGGTTGCTCTATCTACTCCGTATCTGGATTGGATGAATCTCCGCGCTGTCAACAAGACAAGACACATTGCATCTTCCACCGACGCTCCGTCGAGCAGGGGTCTGGACACGATGTCCAGGACAGAAAGCTCCATCACCAATGGGCATGTGGTCTCATCTGCAGAACAAAACGGAGAACGCACGAACAACCCCCTCCCAATTGACGTGTTCAACGCCAGTTCCGTCGCGGAGATCAAGGCCGCCCTGTCACACCTCCATGAGCAAGAAGTCGCCGTCACCGCTCGGCTGGACGCCCTTGTCGCTTCCCAGAAAGATTTCTCCCGGGAGCTAGGGCGGCTAGATCTTCTTCGCGCCCATTTGGGTTCCCAGACCAGCACCACCCACGCAATCAGCCATGGCATGTTGTCCGACGCTGCGGCTACCGCAGATCGCATCTCGAGCGCCGTCCGTCGGCTCGACCTGGAGCAGTCAAGAGTGAAAGCGACGCTGGAGGTGGTAGAGCAGGTTTCGGAGCTGAAGGCTTGCGTTCTGGGGGTTGCAGGCTCCATGGGTGCTCCGCAGGACTGGGAAACGGCGGCCAGTTATCTGAACAGGGCGTCTAAGATACCTTCGGAGGTGATTCATGGTACTTTTGCAGCCGAGATGGTGCCGACCGCTGAGGTGCCTGACCCGCCAAACGTCACTCTGGATAATGCGGCTGAATCGCTTTGCGGCTTATTCCTGCGCGAGTTCGACAAGGCCGTCAAAGAGAACGATGGCGCTAAGATCACACGGTTCTTCAAGCTGTTTCCTCTTATTGGTCGCTCCGAGGTTGGTCTGGATGTGTATGGGCGCTATGTATGCCAAGGAGTGGCATCGCGGGCGCGAGCGAACCTCAATGCCGGCACGGGAGGCGCTCAAAGCAAAGATGGCTTCTTCTACGCAAATGCGCTGACGAAACTGTTTGAGCATATTGCCCAACTCATCGATGGACATGGAGGTCTTGTGGAGCGCCATTACGGCCCGCGGAAGATGAACAGGGTCATTGAACGTCTACAGCTCGAGGCGGATCTCCAGGGTGGGATTATTCTGGACACCTGGAGCGACGAGCGGCACGTCGATCGCAAGCTTACAGACATCAAATCGTATGCCTTTACGTTCTTGGTGCAGAGTTTCCTTCCTGCTCAGCGCAGTGCAACGCCTCGGTCGAGTTCCCCAGCGACTCGCGATGGGCTCCCCGCTGAAGATGAGGGGGTAGACATGAAAGAGATCGACGGGCTACTAAACGAAATGGCAGTCATGCTGGGCCGCTGGTCTCTCTACTGTCGCTTCATCGCTGAAACTTGCAATGTAAGTTATCTGACTGTGTCAACCGCCTTTGGATGGATATGTGCAGAAAGCTGACTCTGTGCAAGGCAACCGAGGACGAGACTCAAAAATTTACGCCACCCAAGTTTCTACAGGAAGCGAGTCTTTCCAAGAAAATCAATGACCGCCTGACCAACCCATTCAATACTATGACGACATTTTTCTTCCGTCGCTCGGTTGAAAAGGCGTTTCAGTTGGATGAGCAGCCTTCTGGTCTGACCCTGCACCCGCAAAAGCCATTGAAGGCAGATCCTCCTCATATCACATCTGCAGTGGACGACATCATGTATATCGTCAACAAGGTCTTGCAACAGTCACTGGCCACGTCACAAATCTCGGTGGTGACTAATGTCGTCCCCACGTTGGGACGAGTTCTTGGATCGGACTTCATCGGAATGACCCAAAGGAAGATGCGTGATGAATGCTATCCCAAAGCGCCTGTCCAAGGGGCTCAGCCGCCTGAACAGATTGTGATCTCCTTCCTCGTCTTGATCAACAATCTGGATGTTGCTGTCGACTACATACGCCGCATTGTGCAGAACCACACCGAGACGAAAAAGACCATCACTGGCCTGGACGGTCAGGTCGAGGAAACAGACCAGCTGAGGTCCCTGTTCCCCGTGCCTGCAGAAGCCCAACTTGCGGCGCAAACGCTGCAGACCCTCGCCTCGTCCTTCGAGTCCAAAGTGAATGACCTCCTATCCGACGGTATCCAGGTTGTATTCAACAACGTCGTAAAGCACCGCCTGCGACCTATCCTTTCAGATGCTTTCCGAGACATCGAATACCAGCCACGGGACGACAGCGACCCAACGAGCACCGTCTACCACGACTACGGCGATGGAGACGAAGACGTAGACGACGGCGCCAGCCGAGCGGAGCTGGTCCGTCCCCGCTTCGCCGCCAGCTGGACCGAGCTTCTCCTCCCCATCTCCCGCATCCTCACAGCCTCAGCCTTTGACCGCCTTCTGAACGTCACAGTGGCGTATCTGGCCCGACTGCTCGAGAAGCGACTGTGGTCGTACCACGGACGGATCAACGCACTTGGCGCCACCCGCCTCGAGCGCGACGTCTCCGGCGTGATAAGCGCAGCAGTGGACGTCGGCGGCGCCCAGGGCGCCTCAGGACGATACCGACACCGGGAGGCGTTCGCCCGCTGCCTGCAGATGGTGCTAGTGATGGGGATGGACGACGACGAATGGGAGGACGTCACCCGCGGAGGTGAGACGGCAGACGTGCTCGATAAGCTCAATCGGGAGGAGCGCGCGCGAATCCGTGCAATGGTGCGGCGGTGATCTCGCCTTTCCTATTTTACATAGTGTATATTGCATAGACTCGCCGCGAATGTAAATAGCATGATCCATAGATGAATTCACTGCTGAACGCGGAAACAACCCATGTCTATCATCGCCGACGCACATCAGACAGATGTAGCTCACCCCTAGCTTGCGCCTAAGACTAAAACCAGCTACGAGTCAAAACTTACACTCTTACAGAAACATAAAATCCAGATAGCCAATGCAGAACAGCGAGGTGGAGATTCTAAAGTAGCCAGGCATGGACCTTAGAGCGACGCTCTACCATCCCGCTGGACCGGCCCTACATGAAGGCGAAGGAATCACTTATGGTGCGACCAAATACAATAAACAAGCACATATTATCTGATCGTTATTGAATTATTCAAGTCTATACACGTGGTATCGTTGCTAGCTCCAATGACTGATATCCCCGCCGGTCACGAAGAAAAGTATATACAAAACAGCCGTAGATCAGGACCAGATGAACGCCGATGTTGCTAAACCAAGAGTCACAGACAGCGTGGGGAGAAAAAAAAAAAACAATACACATGGAGTCAATGGCGTAGCCCCAGGCGACGCAGCATTGAAATGCGGGAGCAGGAAGAAACGATGCTGGATATCTCGAATAGTCGCTTGAAAAAGAAACATGAACAAATAGGGGTTCGGGGCTGAAGGACGGGGTTAACTGAGGGCGGAAGAAAATGAGGCAATGAGGCAGGAGATGATGAGGTTATTATGATGAGCCGTCTTGCTTCTCGTCGATTTGAGGAGCGGCACGTGTTTCGTGCGTCTCTTGGGCTTGCGCAGGAGGATTGTGCTCGGCGACCTGCCGTGAAGCCGGTGCAATCTTAATCTCCTGAATGCCAGAGTCGCCTTCACTGCATCCTCGGCTGTCGATTCCCACGGGTGTCTGGCCTTCGAGCATCTCGCTGTGCTCTCCGATGCCATAGCGGGCAGCATGGGGGATCTCATGGCCGTCTTCGAGCTGGTCGTGCTTCTGCGGCGTCCAAGCCAGGTAATCACGGCGAACTTCGACATAGTCGTATGCGAACTCGCCTAGCTGGTCGTCGTCCATACCGAGCAACTCGGCCTCTTCGGAGGCACGCAGTTTCAGGCCAGGAATAGCGTTGATGGCGTAGGCAATGATGGCGGAGACGACGAAGGAATAAGCGCAGGAAGCCACGATGAAAGCAATTTGGATGTAGAGCTGCTTGTAGTTGTGGATGACCCATCCACCAACTCCGGTTCCAGTGTTCACACCGTCCAGACCGACGATTGCATCATCTGCGAAAAGGGCGTTGAAGATCAGGCCAACAATTCCCGCGACACCGTGTTCGGCGAACACATCCATAGAGTCATCGATACGGATCCAGTATTTAACTATACAAGAGTAGTGGTTAGCAAAGCGAATTAGGTATGATAATTTTGTCAAACTTACCCTTGGTGGCATAGTTACAAACAACACCAGTCACAATACCAAGAATAACACTGGCCCAGGGGGTCAAAAACCCAGAGGCGGGAGTCGCAGCGACCAGACCGGAGATAGTACCGGAACACCAGCCGACCATCGACCACTTTCTAGCCAGACGCCAATCGAGAAGAACCCAGGTAATGGCTCCAAAGGCAGCAGTCAGGTTTGTGTTCCAGCAAGCCATGGTGGCTCGAATGTTGGCACCGAAGGAAGAACCCCCGTTGAATCCAAGCCAACCGAACCAGAGAAAGACGGTTCCGAGGAGAATGAGCGAGACGTTGTGAGGGCGGAAGTTCAACATCATGCGTTCCTGACGACGACCGAGGACCATCGAATAGGCGAGAGCTGCCATACCGGATCCGATTTCGACAGGACCACCCCCGGCATAGTCCAAAACACCGTATTTGAATGCCCAACCATTCACATTCCATACCCAGCAAGCCATAGGACAATAGACGATAGTAGCCCAGATGAAGGTGAAAACCATGGCCGGAAGCAGACGTCCACGTTCTGCAACAGCGCCCATAATAATAGCCGCAGTGACACCACAGAATTGCATCTATGCCAGATAGGCTTGGTCAGCCTGCAATGTCCGCTAAATCCTGGCAAATCGTGAAGAGTGGTATCATACCTGGTAGAAAGCATAAAGGATATTAGGAATGAGAGGTGATCCAGGACTCGGGTCGGCCAGAGTTTTCATGAGACCAAAGTTGCGAAGGTTGCCAATGTAGCCATTGGTGGCAGTAGGAGAGAAGGCGAGGGAATAACCCCAAAAGTACCACTGGAATGTGACGACCGAGAATGATGCCATACAGGCCCAGATCATACTCAGAGCCGACTTACGACGAGCGAGACCAGAGTACAGGAATCCAAGACCAGGAATCATGACCATGACCATGGCGGAGGCCACGATGATGTACGCCTGGTCACCCGATTGAAACCATTTGTTCAGATTCTCCGTTCCTGAAAATGATGCCGTTAGAATCATGGCCCCATACAAAGCGAGCAGAAACTAGAAAACATACTGGAATCACCGCCAATATCATTTGTGGCGAGCTGCGCATAGTTTGCGGGAGCACCAGTCCAGTTGTATGACGCATAGTCCGGGATATATGGAGCGGCGCTTGGTTGAGACGACATGGTGAAATGCTGAAATTATGATTCTACGTGTATGCTGAGTTGATGAAGAATGCAGAGAATCTCAATGCATGCGAAAACCACCAGACACTCTCTCCCGGGATGTGTGACCGTTGCGTTGTAGGGTGGGCGGAGAGAGGGATATAGTTATGGTTTCCGATGCCGGAGGAAGAGGCAGAGAGCGGAAAAGGCTAGCGAGGACAGTGACACGATCGGAGGGCGGGAAGTTTCGGTTGAAGAGGAATTGTATAGATGGTTTCGAAATGGGTATATTGTTGGCTAGATCTAACCTCCTACTTCGCTCACTCAAGAACGAGAACTGTAGTTGAAAAGAAGGATCGATCGAGCGAGAGAGTGAGTGAGTGAGCAAGTGAAGAAGTGTTAGACTCCGCTCTGTGGAGAAGGACAATTGCCACGGGGGCGGAGGGCGTAGTATATAAGAAGATGGCGAGAAAAGATAGATAGGGTCATAGGAATTCAAATCAAGCGTTCTGGAAAGGCATCCCGGTGGGCCTGGAATTGGACGGGACACGAATTTGCGTTTGCAAATCTGAAGGAGTCAAGCGATGATAGCGATAGATCGACAGACTTCCATGGGCAGACAAGACAGTGAGAGCTGTGGGGCGGTAATTATCGATATTATTAAAATGCTTTTCCCTTTTCTTGGTCTCTTTTTTTATCAGCCCTTTGGTGATGATATCGGATGATATTAGTGTTCGTATTAGTCTTCCAGCTTGATTGATAGATACTGGGCCGGAGACAGTCAGATGCAATTTCCCTGTAAGCAAGAATAAAATTAAATTAATAATAATAAGGAACTGCATAAGACAAAATAAAGCAACGAAAAAGATCTCTAAAGAAACCTCCTTGCAGCTTTGGAGGGAGACGCGGTAAAACCAGAAAAATGAAAAAAGTACCTGGAGATAACATGTACAAGACGCCCAATGGAATAATCGATTCAATAAAGTAAGATAAGAAAACAGCCAATAACGTGTTCGAGCCTAACGGCTCTGAGCCAATAAGCCACAGGCGAAAAGAAACTCACCAATCAATGGCGATCCCATATGAAATAGACCTCATCCTCCAGTGCTCGACGACCAACATTATGATCTAGGACACACTGAAGAAGACTCGACCTACCTACTATCCGCATTCCAATGACGGTATAAGACAACTTCGAGACAGTTGTTGCTCGCATCATAGCTTCTTTGCATCCTCGAAGTGCCTCGTGGCGAATGCGCCTCAGTATGGAGTAGTGCATATCCATTAATAGTTTTACCCGACAGGACCCAAGACCCAACTTTAATCCGCTCTCTTATCCCGGCCAGCCAAGACCACCGTCAAGATGGTGTGGGATACTGACTGACTGTGGCGAATACATAATCATATTATCATTGCACTCCATGGACAGTAGTCATCGTCATGGCCTGGTGGGTAGGGATGATAGAGAGGTAGATAGGAAGCACACTTCCACCCCCAAACATCGGTTCGTTGCTTTTTCCATGCCAGGTGGTTAAATATTTCTCTTGGCTCCGAGCACTGACATGCGGTCTGTGGCTCATATTCAGGCTGACTGTGCAGGTAGGTTGTTGTACAACCTCAAGGCACTTTGACTGCCGGGTTCGTACGCTTATTTATGCTCTTGGTTAATCAACGCTACATACTTCTCCAGGCAGGTAGAATGAGTACTGCCTGCTATCTTGAGATGATAACATATCCGCCGATGCATGCCGCGATAGATAGATAGATAGATACTCCGTACAGTGATAGTCGTACTCCAGCAAGTGTTGATGATATGAAGAGCTACGTCCACCCCTGTCAACTCCGCGGTACAGCCCCCATACATCTCCATCCAGACTGGCTCGATCCCACGGCACAGATACCACTATCGACAGAGTTTCAAGCTTGAGTCTCGAGTTGATCCGGAACGCGAATGCGGATTCCTTATCAATTGCTGTTTCTCTCAAGTCATCTTTCGCTCACCCTGATAAGCAAATCGATTGGCTGTGAGGCCCCGATAAGATCCTCAACGCCACCTGCCGAGTGTGTGGGGCCCGTTAGCTCCGGATGTGGTATGGCTGCAGCTGAAGGAGCCCCATAGCACTGATAACGAGAAGCTTGGCCAATAACATCTCGGCCCAATCCAGCCCTGGCCAGTTCCTGCTAGATTTCCCTCATTTTCCCGAAGGGTCGCTCGGGCATTTCAGGAACCCAAGCTTCGTGCCCAGGATGCCCTTATCTGGAGTTTCTGGAGTTCCTCCGGCTGGGCGCCGTTCGGTTCGGGATCATCACTCACATTCATATGTCAGCCTAACCAGCCGGAAGCACTTTTTGCCATCAGTCAATGCTCGACTCTCGTGCCTTGGGTTTCTAATCTGGTTAAATTGGG